CCGCCACCACCATCACCACCACCACACACGAACGTTCAAAAGGAGGTGACCGCGGGGGAGGTACGGCCTGCTCCCAGTGCCAAGAGGTATCCGGTGTGTCGCATCCTCGTCGCAATCGCTTCGTGTGAAGAACGTGCGCGCAGGTGTTTCGGAATAGTGTACCGCACCATCGTTACCACGTGTCCATCGGGACGATACGATTCGCCACGGGTATGTACACAACCCTGCAAACTTTCCCATAGTTTCCCGATTTCTCAGTGGGATAGTAACGTTTCAGAAACGCTCGAAGCAGAGGCAATATCTATTTTTTCTATAATCGATCGCACGTCTATTTTTGCATCGTAAGGTGAAAATTTCGATTTTTGCCGGTCCATCTCTCAAGTAACACGTCGCAGTTGTCCGCTCGATGAAAGTCGAAAGCGAAATATGGAAGATTCTTTTTTTACTCGTGTATTTTTCGTAATTATTAAGTTGCAAGAATATTTTGCGTGCGCGAAAAGGAGACGAGTAGGAGTAATTTTTCACCGATGGTCTTACGAATTATTACTTTTAACGTATGATCGTTTGAAATTCAAATGCTATTTAAATCTAAGTACGTGCGACGTTTTAATATTAAAAAGCATTCGAACGTAAAAATTTGTAAAACCCATCAAATCGTGATTGCGAACCAAAAAATTAAATTTATCGATGTAACGTTCGTCACTCGGTAATGACACGTCAAATACTTTCAACGCGTCGTTAAATTTCTTTTGCAAAGATTAATTTCGATGCGGTTTATTTTTCGATCGCGCTGCCTGATAATATTAAAAAATTACACTCGACAAAGTTAATTCATCGAATCCTGACGTCGATGTGTTCATTAAGCCGCTTTGCAGAAAATATACCGGCGGAAATTAAAATCTTTTAACGCGGATCGAACGACGCGCATCGCGTAGCCAGAGAGTCGCGTTTAAATAAATCACGTCGTCGGTCACGTTTTGCAAAAAGCAAAATTATACGATAATTGGATAAAACATCGAAGAGAGGGGAGACAAAATCTGTTATCGCGTTGTATTAAGCGGTGCGTACAATGAAACTGGAATTACCGTAGCAAGTGGTAACGTTGAACTGTTGCGAACGAACGAGGTCTTTTCGTTTGACCAAGTTCCAACTACGACGTTATGAATTCAATTAACAGTTTCGAATACGCGAATTGCCGACGGCAAAATGAGTTCGATAGACGAATTTTCTCTCCGGATTTTCAAATCTAACCTCTGAATAAACTCCTCTAAGAGGAATCGATTAACTTTGCAGTTTGGCTTTGATCGTTGAAAAATTGACAGAGTTACCGTGGAAATCTCGTGGATACGCAAACGACGGGGCGTGAAAGGTGCGAAACTGTGGAGATTTTTCAAGAAAATCGAGCGGCGAGGTTTGGTAGCAACTGGTTCCCGCAACTCCTCGTGACTCGCGTGATTTATCGCGTGCAAAAGTGTCAACAGAGTAAACCGTGTCGTCGATTCAACGTTGTTGCACTGTGGGGGCACGCAATTAATCAGGAATCTGAAAATTATCGACAGAGTTATGGATATCCTTTGTACACGGTTGGCCACTTGCCGCGGCACAGGATTAATTTCAAGCTGAAAAGCAACTGCCGTCGGCTGCCGCTATATTTGTTGTTTGCTTATTTGGTAATCGCTCGCCGGGATTACCTCGTTACACAAGAATAACGAAAAAGAAAGTGCTCTGGTTAAATAAGCCGTTAACGAGCATGCCATTCAGCCTGCAAAAGTATAACCGATTAATTTTATGGATGAACATTGTAATTACCATCTACGTTTCATTTTACTCCACCGATCCCCGAACAACCTTTTAATTTCATTATTAAAGGCCCACGACGCAGTAAAGTGAAGATGTTAACGTTGATGATACATCCGTAAATAAGCGAACATGAAATCACCGAGTACCTACATATGTGTATGTATGTATGTATGTATGTGTGTATGTATGGTTGTGTCTTTTTCGAAGCGATATTCGAGCGAACGTCGCCCCACGCTGACGATGAGTTGACACGAATGTTAATGAATGTTTACCAATTTTCATGAATACTCGTGCACGATAATTAAACGAAATTTCCACGCATTCGAAACTTCACGACCATAGAAGTTACTAGTATCGATCTTAGCTATGTCTCTTCTTCTTAGGTTAGTTAGGTAGTAGGTACAGTCGCGATTTCGTGCGTTAACGGTGCTTGCTGTTCATCTGGTGTCGAATATTATCGATGTTTCGAACAAAACACAAAGCAGAAATTAATTGGGAAGTCAAGAAGAACGTTTGCACTGGAAAATAGTAAATTGCCATTAAAGTTTAACAGATTTAGCTAAGTATAAAGTTCTCCAAAATGTATGCTGCTTCGTATTTCAAATTTTTTAACGAGGCTAATTGATAAAAACAAAATACTCCAAAAAGAGACACAGACGAAACGAGACGCAGGCGTTCGAACGGTTTCTTGAAACTTTCTTAAATTTTCGCGAAAGCCGCGTAAAGATTCGTTCGATTACCAACATATCGGCGTACGATAACAGTCGCGTACGATTCTCGTAAATTATCGAACGAAATTATCGAAGAAATTCTCGACATAGCCATTCCCCGAACGATGCCTCGAACGAATCTTCAACTCGATTTATTTCAGTTTATATTATACATGCCAGTACGTACGTCGAACGCAAAACGTCCATAGAGGACACTAGATCTTTGTCCATAAACGACGACTCACGCCGATTTTAACTCGTAAACTTATTCGACCACGCTGTTTCGCGCGCCGCGCCGTGTCGCATCGCGACTACCACGAAGTTTATCGACGCACGTTTACGTGACTCGCGTTACTTACTAGAATCGATAATCGAAACGCCAGATATATAGGATTGACTAATTAAAATTTCTTCCAAACGACGATCCACGATCCTTTTCACTTTTTTAAACGGATTTAAATCGTTCGCGGATCTCGTACGTTTATCAACGTGTTGATACGCGCCAAATTAATCTCGGTTAATAATATCGTTGGCAAGTGAATCGCGATGATACGTCAATTTTTTTTTCTTTTTTTTTTTTTTAATATATAGAAGAGAAGAACAATTTCACTGGGAACGGAAAGCGCAACCTCAGTAAACGGATCCACCTATGACACGGGGACGATTTTCGTTACTCGGCTCGTTCAACAAGTCGCTATAAACCGAGTTCGGAACGTGAGATAACGATCGGAAGAAAATTACAGCGAACGGACTGACGTTCTGTTCGTTTGACGACGCGTTACAGGAGGGACTTCCTATGTACGTCCGACTCGTCCGCGTTTTGTACGCCTTTGTATCGTTACAATGGAGAAACATGCTTTTGTTCTCGCAACGGTTTCGTGTGATTCGGATTTAAGACAATTAAGAGTATTTAAGACTGCTTGTGACGCAGACGCGCGCATATAGGAAATGCCGCCTTAACTCGGATACGTTGAACGCGTCGCAATGCTACACCGCGCCGCACCGCGCCGCACCGCACCGCACCGCACCGCCGCTCTTTAACGCGAATCTTTGCCATTAATTGGAGTACAGAAGCTTCCGCGGAAAGTTTCTTGTGGCTATTCGCGCTCCAAAGACGGCACTAGCGAGGCGTCTTAGAGTTTTCTCGGTGGCGTTTCCGCCAACTTTTCCGGCAATTAATGGCGCGACGTGGCAGCATTTTTTGCGAAAGCCCCGCGAGGCAACCCTTTTACGAAATAGGTTAATGTCTCGTTTCGAGTAAAACCCGTGATTATCGCATACCTGTCGGACTAATCGTTGCGGAGCAGACGCTTTCCTCGCGTTGTTACGTTGTTACGCGGTAATAATAACGTAAAAGCAGACAGTGGAGGTTCTCGTCAAGAAGGTTGCATATCGAATCCGGGGGCAACGAATTATTATATATCGCAGTTAATGATCGTGTTGTTTGGAGAACGAAGGGAACCGTGCAATTATTAAATCGTTAAGGTGAACCGTACCTACACGAACGGGCTACGGACATCCTATAATACCACCGGCTTTCCACTTGTTCTTAAATTATCGTTAACATGTAACGTAATTTCTACCCTCTGTGGCCGATCGCACCGACAATTTTCCACTCTACTCGACAAATAAAACGCTGCCTGGTTCGTGTACGTGCGCTCGATGCGCAATGAGAAACTACCGGCTGAAATAATTAGTTCTTTCGCGTGTATGAACATGTGCCAGGAACGTAAGCGTTTTTACCTTTAAAGTAACCTACTCGTTTGGTGTAATCTATAAATCTGGTAACAAGGTGCGCAGTGGTTAATGGAGCAAAGGAACAAACAAACTATACTCTAATCTATGGAGTTTCGTGGCAAAGTGTAAAGTACCTTCGTATAACATTTTTATCGATCGCCCTTTAAATTAACTTCCTTCCAAGAGATTCGTAACAACTTAATTTCCAACGTATTTTCTTCTACTAATTGGGGGCTTTTATTTTCTCTAATGCGGCAAAATTCTAGGTAACTGTAGCGATCTCTCTGTAAGAAAGCGCGGTTAAACGTCAACGCCGATATTTCTGTCTTTATGAAATTCTCGTTTCTTCGGTTAAATGGGTAAATCAGAGGGTCCGATATCATAGAAATTATAATCTCGAAACTCGCACGATATCTCGTTAATACGACACGAAAAAGGAGTGGAACTCGTGCAACACGTTTAAGCTTTATTTCGTCGTAATACACAGACGGATCCCAGATTTCGTTCATACAGCGTAAAGAACGAACGACACGCGGATTCTTTCGATTGAAATAATTGTATACGTGCGCACAATAAACATCGCATATATTACGCGTGTGAAATTCGCGTGTTATATCTTAGTCGGTGACCAACCGTGTTACGCGTCGACATAAATTCGTCGAAATAAAATTCCTATTCGAGATACTTTTGTACTGCGTCACGGACGTTACGGCAAAAAAATGCCAAAGCTCGTCGATTTTGCATCGTCGCGATCGATGGAATCGATGTCTATAACTTTTTATACAAATTCGTCGAGTCTCTGACAGACTTTGAGGAAGCTCTTGGAAAGGCGCGTCCCGAAGGAAGGGGGCGTTACGGCCATCGAGCAGTCGTGATTAATTTGAAAACGTAAATAACCTTTCTGTTCTACTCCGATCCATCACTCGGAAAACAATGAATCCTGGCGTGGTAGCGGCGCCTCGACCGATGCATGCGCTTTGTACTCGCATACCTGCTATAAATCACGCATGAATATTTAGTCGACAACCTGGTCGCCACTGATCCTCGCGATAGACAGACGCACGCTTAAAGTCCACTCACGTTTCGTCTATTCATTCTTTCTTCGAAGCTTACGTTTGAACGCAATGCTCGTTGAAATTTGGTAAAAAGCAGTACATCGCTGTTGTATTAATCGACGCATGCGTCGTATAGTAGTTTCCGTACTTTCCGGATTTCCATTTCGTTTCATTTCCACCAATAGTTTCCATCCGCGTTTTTCTTCGAGAATTTTAATAATCTTACGTATATCGCGACGTTTATCGTCGAGGCATCTCGTTTTTTTTCGATCGGCGACATACGAATACGCGTCGCCGAATCGACGAAGAATATCGTTGTTGTCGTTTCGTATCTCTGGCATAAATTACGTCGAAGCTGTCGTATATTTTATTACTCGAACGTTATATAAATTGGTCGGGCGTAAATTAATTTGAGAATTTTACCAAAGGGAAGGCGAGGTAGGATTCTTTTCGTTGTGGCTGCAAGCTGCCACGCCGCCAACGACGACATCGGCGACGAGACGAGCAAAGTGGAGAACGGCGAATGTAAAGGATAAAAATGCGGGAATGAGAAACGAGCTTTTACGAGGGGAATTCAAGTAAAAAGAGAAGAAGGACGGATAAGTTGATCAGGCTTCGTTGAAAGGAGGATTGTAAAGTACGGCACCGCAATTGTAGTCTGACACGGAGTGGCTTCATTATCATTGCCCGGAGCACTACGTCCCTGTGACTCGTGCATCCTCTTCTTACGTTTCATCGATATTAATTAAATTTCTGTATTCGCGTTCCATGGGCATCCTTATTATGCCCACAGAAATGACGCGAAACGTCTGATCTCCGCGAACGCAAATCAGCTGAGAAATAAATTTTCGAAGAAACTCGTAAAAAGAAGAAAGAGAACGTTTTTTCATGGTTTTCTTCTAAATTAAAAACGACGTATTACATTCATAGGTGAAAAATATGCGACGCGTCCTACTATAACAACGGTATAGGATCGCCGTTCTTTACTTGTCCGTATGCTGTCAATTTTTTGTCACGTACACTTTCAACACCGTATACAGAAACAATGGCGTGCATAATGCGAGCATAAACAATTTCCAGCGTGTACGATCGGCTTGCACAACGATCGTGATAGTTGCACTCCTTCCGTCCGGAATAACTCGAACGCTGCAGCTCTCAACAGACTGTCAATTAACTATCATTAACATTGGTGAATTAGTCGGAGGCGAGCGTCGATATATATTCGTAGGAGTAAATCCCGTTCGAACGAGTGCGTTGGTTATTCCGCTTATTCCCTTTCTCTATCCTTCCTTCTCGCTTTTTCTCTCGCACCTCTTGCCCGAGCGTACGCATTTTCACACGCGCTTACCCACGCGCTTTAACATTTACTCGAATGCATTTCCGGTACCTCTCACTTCGTGAACCGTTTCCTTGCGTTGTCGTCATCGTCATCGTTGTTATCGTCGCTGTGATTCACGTTAACTGCTCGTATGCTTCTTCTTGACTCGTCGAAGATCGCTTACATTTTTCTTATGTAATTCGTTCAAAAATAATTTGATCGCAGATTGAAAAATAGATCTTACGGATCAGTGGATCCCAAGGTATACTTTTAATAGCGACAATAGGACGTAATAAACTTCGAGAGTCGATCAAATCGTCCGAACGTCTCCATTATGTACCTGTATTCGCAAATTACGCCGATAGAACGCGTTTATTTGGCAATTGTTCAACGACGCGAAGAACGGACGAAAGGACTTGAAATTCTCGCGATGAAAATGGAAACAAAATTTCATATCGAACGAAAATATTTTGAAACGTACGTGATTATAAAAGTCACGTCTACCGCTGGTAGACGGTACAAGTAGAAAAACACGAGAGATAGAAAAAAGATCGCCCTCTATCAGATAGAAGTCTCATTGTACTGGCACATGTGAGACAATTTCTCATCGAGTTCGAGCGACGCCGCATCGTTAATTTCCGATGTGTGCGTCATATCATACGCGTGACAACTCAATTCGGACGGCAAGAGACGCTTTAAACCCGCGCCTCTCTTATAAATATTCCACGGTCGCGGTCGATGCGAACAAAACGCTTGTTTAAACCCTCGCGTTTAACGAGTTTCGGAGGAAAATTTTCATCGGGGTGAAACAATACCGCTTATTGATCAAATTTCGATCGAACGAAGAACTGCATAAAGTCGTCGATCGATCTGGCTAGGGACTCCCATAACGAGAGGAACATGTTATCGTTATGAGAGTTATCGTCGCTTCCAGAAACCAATGAATCGTGTACGGATTAATAAGGTGAATAATTATACTCCATTTTCGATTAGAGGGAACGAAGCGTTGTAACGATTCGACGAAATTCAAGGAATTATTGCGCATGTTTAAATCAAATTCACGTAGGTTTAGACTAAAAAAGACATGCCGTTCTACATCACATATAAATGTTACAAAAACACTGTTACGACTTCTATCTAAGCCTTTGCATGAAGAAATTTCGGTTTCGATTTAAATAATCAGATAATAATAAATTTAAATTGTCAATCGGTTGAAATTTTTCCTTTGACTCGCGTACCCAAAGCGACAAAATTATAGACTTTAATAAAGAGGCTGGTATGTTATGCGACGTGAAACACCACGACTCGTACGTGCATATGATCAACTCTTGTTCTAATTAACAACTCTCACAGAAGGATCGTAGTCACTGCTTGCTGAGAAATGCCGTGGAATACCGAAAGGGTTTGGGGAAATCAAAGTCAGTTGATTAATCCTCTGTCTCTGTCTACGAAATCAGTAAATTAGTCTCTCGGGAATACCTTTCAACGCGAACGAGCTTCCGATGTATTTGCATGGCAATTAACAACATTTATTTCTTCACACCCTGTTCATTTACTGACCAACTTACACAACAATCCCAGGATTGTTCTTCCCGTAGTTTGTTTTATATTTCCAGTTTTACTTATTGCGTCGATTCGACGAATAAACGTAGCTCGAGTCGCCTCACGGTCAGCATCTAACAATCGTCGTTCGATCCGTGCTATCCGTGTAACTGAATCGAAGGAAAACTTCCAACGATAATTGCGTTCGAAGAGACACATAAGTCGGAATGTAAGGTAAAGCCGACTATTCAGCGTGGGACTGTAAGAAAGGGTCAGTATAGCTGCCGAGTGCAATCATGGGGTTGGCCATGGTTCGTCGAAATCCGATTACCATAATTACCCAGCGTTACTTGTCGGACCATGAAAATCTAGCGTAACAAGGTTTATACCTTAGGTCAAAGCTGCTGCAAAAGCATCCCGCAGGCTTTTCCTTAGGTACACCGGCACTGCGAAGTTCAGCTTTAATTCCTCGATTCGTGCATGTTTTCGCCTCACAGATTACTTTTCTTGTTATTTCACGAGACGTTTCGTAAAACGTAAACGAACCACGCCGTCGACGAAATAATAGAAAATGTTCGCCAGAACGTTTATTCAGAAATCGACCGAGTTTTCTGGTTACAATCCTTTCAATACCGAACCACTTGCGCAAATATCTTTATGCAAAACGCTCTTACAAGGATTAAACACGAACCCTTAAACGTTTTATCGTCCGACATTCTCTCAATCCTCTCGAAAATCTCAGTCGTTGGTTCGGCTCGCTAGCTATCAACCTCGAAATCCAGGGAACCGGTAAGTTTGTCAAATTACGACTCGAGGATAAGATCGCGCAAATAAGGTTTTGTCACGCGTTAAAAGTATTCCTTGGTTCTTTTCACACTGCTAATCGTTGCCTGATAAACACACATGATGGCTCGGAAAACATTTCGTAAAACGATCTCTTTGTATTTATTGCAGGTCAAAGAACGACGACGCGACATAAAGAGTGGAAGCTTGACCACGTATTGGCCGTCGTGTACTTATTTGAAGGTGCGCTGCCGGTCTGATCGCAACCATGCACTACTCACTGATGCTTCAGACGTTTATCGTTATCGTGCATATCGTGCCTGAGGTCCTTCTCCATCGGCCGAATGTCAGGGGTGAGTTTGAAAGTCACGCTCGATCGTGTATCGGGACGATAAAACAGGGAGTGAATTATGCATGATATTATTCCTTTTATCGACTGTACAAGAATTTTTCTATCGTCTTAAACGAAATAGACTCGTATACAGTACCCGTACATTCTATGATTCATTTGCTATACTAGTCGAATTTTAAATATATAATATTGGGTATATTAACTGGTACACTCTCGGGAATAATTAAACGAACGCTTAGGTTTATAGCTTTAATTATACACATATTTCGAATATTTAAATAATTTATACGTAGTTGCGAAACAGTTATGATTTTGCGTAGCATATATATCGTGCTATCGATTCCATCATATTTCCGATGTAAAGATATTACTGTGGCAAAATTCATCGAATTTCATCTTTGAATGTCAAAGGTAAGAGCCACAGAACTAAACACTGCTATACACTGCTTTTTATACTAGCGTCGCGTTGTAGCAATACAGGAGCTAGTAGATTTTTAGGAAATTAACGGTGACAAAAGTTTGAATGAACGATTACGTGGATTGATCGTTCGCTGTACCGGAAATTCGCATCGTGTCGATATCTCGATAATATCGCTGTTTCTGATAACTAGGCGTATTGAAATTACAATCGATCGTACGTCTAACGGTGGCATTCGAAATATTTATTGATATAACTAAGGAACACGTGGTGTCTCTAAAAATGTTACCACAACGAGCGTAAATAAGGCGATAATTAGCATTATTAGAGTACCATTCCAATGGTTGGCGCAACACTTCCACCTTTCTCCTAGTATTCCGAGGTCCGTTTAATCTCTGTCTTCGTTTTCGTCTTTAGATCGTAACTCGACACTATTTGTACACTTAACAGAAGCACCTTCAGCGAAGGCGAGATTTCGTGCACGTCGACGACTGAGCTGAGCGTGACAAGTCGCGAACAAAAGTAACTCGAGAAAGCGGGCGAGAAGCTATAGAATCGGCTATGTTTCTTCTCACCCTCTCAATCTCTCGCTCTCTCTCTCTCTCTCTCCTATCTTTATGCTTTTGTCATTTTTCACTCGTCCTCGACGCGCCGCCGGATATCATTTTTATCCGATTTACAGTTACGGAATAACGGATAGTCGATTCTTCGAGAGAAGATTGTGTTCTCGTGAGATTCGAAAGATTGCGAGAACTAGAGGGAATCTTTCAAAGTATCATCTTTTCGGTAATGGAAAAAAATACAAAGTGGTAATTGATCCGAAGATTTCTTGAATTCAAAGCTTCGACAAAACGATATCGAACGATATAGGCATTTATTCATAGACATTTTGATTTACGAACGATGCTGTAAATTATAAACTTCACGCTACTGTTAAAACTCCGTTTAAAGAATCCTAGATCGTAATCCGAGCCTAATTCGATCCATCATACGCCACAAATCCGATGCGAACAAGTAGAATCGTGAAAACGATAAAGTTTCGATTGCCATACTGCCACGCGCGTCGTAAAATCGTCCACTCGTTGTATGTACGTATACACGATTCGAAACGCAACAACCACGCGGATATTTTCGAGCAGAATTAAAAAATCTAACCCCGGAACGAATTCGTTGCCGTTGTGGATGAGATCGCCCGCGCATGGTCACCATTTTTTCCGCGTCGGAAAAGAAGGTTCGAGACAATCGCGACACGACGGCCACCTTTTCAATGTAGATGACTGGAGCCGCGCTTGTAAATATTTATTCGCCTTGTGGGCGAGGAAGACAATGCGAACCGGGTAGAATTAGCGACGCGAAGCGAAACCGCGTGTTGAAATTGTCCTGTTATTAGGAAGCAATTATCCCGATCCAAGAAAATTATAGCGAACGGTGGAGGCGCGTTTACGCGACGCAGCGTGTGGCGTGGCTCGGTATGGAAAGACCGGTTAGCTGACACGCGTAATCTGACCGCTCTGTCGATAGTCCCTTCGGTTATTACGGAATTATTAACCCTCTGCGGCACTCAACCTCTCTTCCTGCCGTGAGTATCCTAATGACGAGGCATTAGCAGGGGTTTGCACCTCGTCGCCGCTTCGCTCTAATTTGAAACTTAACGCTGGGAATTCGAACTACGGCCAACCCTGCAAACTTCGAATTGTTTCAAAGTCCTGGCAGAAGTTAGACTCGAGTTTAAAATCATCGGCGGCCGGAGATAACTTTCCTAGTAATTACCTGCCCGCTCGCGCGCAAATTATCAGACGGTTATATTTGATACGAGTTTCTTTCCAATAATCCAATTTCCAATGGCGCAACAAGAAGTCGTCGACGTATCCAAGCATCGAGATCGTTCCAGATCGTTTCGTGCTTAACAACACGTGTGTTTGCACTTGCTACGTTTTTGCTATTTCCTATTATATTTTGTTGTTTTAAAAGCTAAAGAGATACGAGGTCGTGGCAACGTCTACGCTTTTGTCAACTTGATACGGTTATTTAAATATCTTTGATCGTCTGAAAACCACGCAAAACCCGATAAACTAGTACTAAAACGAATCTCAATCGATCTCTTGACGAAGAAAAAAACCAACGTCCCTGAGATGGCGCCAAACATCTATGAAAGCGATGAAAAAAAGCAGGCTCGTGGCCCGTTCGTAGGAGCAACAAGACCGGCCGTCCATTCATGGCTCGAACCCGTTGAAAAATCGGTCGGTCATACGCTGAATATGTAACTGCTGGAACAGCAGCGTGAGCGAGCGCGCGTGTTTCTCGCGTAGCAATGGAAATGCCGCTCGAACCGCAATCGCGTTCAAATATTATGCGCCTGCCTCCTCGATGGAGAATTTACAACGAGATAAAAGTATTTCCAAATTACGACAATTTTTTAAATTAGCAGGAAGATTAATGGATCTTCCGGGCAATTGGTACTTTGAATTCCGGTTGCTCGAGTTTATCAGGCTGTCGTCACCTACTTCGAGACGAACGAGTCGTTCCAAGTTTCAAACGTGTCCCAGGGATTACAAACCTTCAATTTTCAAACTCTTCGGGACCCGTCCGGAAGGTTGGAAGATTTTAGGATTCGCGAGAACTATGAAGTTCTTAAGCCGATATAAAATCTTAAGTCCATGAATTACACAGCTGCGCGGTTCGAGGTTTGCGAAGAAAGATTTCAGATTTTCTATGCGAAGCTTCGCGAATCGAAGTGGCTCGTGAAACTTGAAAATTCGCTCGTGAAAATGCTCACAAGCTCGAGTAATCGAGCAGTGACTAAAATGTTATACTCTGCCGCAAAATTTATCCAATTTTTCAATTAAATTTACAAATTGGAACGAGTCGATATATTTACGTTTTTTGCGATGCGCGAAAACAATTAAAGCTCACGCAATGGCGCGAGCTGCTTGTCCATCAAAGTCTGGAGCATCGACTGATAACCAAATGATTAATGCGAGTATCCTCTAATGGATAACGCATTTGGAAGATGAAACCAACTGCATAAAAAAATGAATAAAAAAATGTACGGTAAAAAGTTTTAATTTCGTGAAAATGTAGCTTGAAAGACACGGTATAAAAGCAATTTGTATAATTGCAAGAATATCTCCGCAGAAAAATAATTTATAAACAAATAAAGCCTGTGAAATCGAAAACGTTGTTCTTTCAGAGGGGCAAAAATATTAACGATCGATTAAAAGAATACATCAGTTATAAAACCGTTAAAAAGCTGTTAAAAAATCGTTGTAAAACGGGAAATTCTGAATTCATCGCTTAAGAAGCAAATAAAATATTACGGCGGAACACGCGGAGAGAGTCGACGAAAAGTCCCCTCGGAAAAGAATCAAAGCGTTTCAACTTCGTACTGGCAGATTCTCCGCTTCTATTCTGCCTCGTCGCAAAATATCGGCTTTTTCAGGACGGATGCATTGAAAAAGGTGGGCGAGGGGAGGGAAACGCGCTTTGAAGATGAGGAAGCATCGAGAAGGTCGAGTAGCGAAGAACGGGACGGTGGAGGAAGCGAAGGCGAAATAACCGTGGCATCGGTAGCGGCAGTTGGCGCACCTGTACTGTTGCACGCACGATGTTCGATGAATGCAAGAGCGGGGGCGGACAGGCGTGGGCCGTGCCGTCAATAGACGGTACACGCTTGCTTTTTGTCTCTCCTTGTCTTTTCGCCAGGGCCGAGGTTCGGCCCGATGCGAAAGCGGCAGGAAATAAAAGGCAAGACTGGCGTGGGTCGCGCGCCTCGCACCGTGCAAATCCGAAAATGCTGAAACGCGGCTGTCATGCCACGCCGCTTGTTCGTAAGCGTAGGCACCCGATGACGAAGCATTATCTTTATTTTCATTCAGAATCGTCGCGTCGTGCTGACCGAACCATGGCATCGCCACGCTCCAACTTCTCTCATTCTCGATCGGGATCGTTTATGCGATACGCGTTACGCGCCTCCACCAAGGGCTATCCACTCGGTCGATCAAACTATCGACTATCCTTCGAACGATGGACCGGCGGATCCTACGAACTTACGTCGCATCCGACATATTTCACTCCTTTTTGTTATTTTATTCGATACAACGTGCCTGGCGAAAGAGACGGTCTCTGCAAAATGTAGCGGTACATTAAGCATCGACATAAACGACTCACGGCCGTATAAATCTCTTTCGTAAATTCAGGAATTAAACATATCGATTGTCGTCGGAACAACGAAGTCGGAAATATGTTTCAACGCGCAAGAATAACAATTAAAGACTCGGGCTAGAGTTATATTCGGATCACAGCTGTCAGACTTCTACTTCCGTATCCATATGCAACATAAACGTTATCCAGGGATTGTGAGAATATTAGAGCAAATATTAGCGCTCATGTTTGCTCGTAACACGTGCGAATGTTTGGTTATACCACGATAACGGGGATAGTCATTGTGTCCGCGATCTTATTAAAGTCTCGTTAGCGGTTCAGCTTTTTAAACGAAATACGTAGTAAGATTTGTAATTCGTCCCGTTTGTTGAAATAAGCGTAGAACTAAATGGAATAACTATCCAGACTGAGACAACGAATCA